GAAAATTGTGTTTTTTATCTTAAATTACTAGGCTCATTTAGACCTATCTATTTGCAACGTTTTTTAAATTGATTTTGGCAATTTTTAATCTTTTAATTTTTACATAGACGTTTATTAAATTATTTATTTTTTTCGAGTAGTTCAAAATTTTTGATTTTTATCCCGTTTTTGCTTCAGTTAGGTCCGTACAGCTCCACAACTGACTTCCCAGCCGAAATCTGAAACAAAAACATGCGAATTAGCGAAAATTTTTATAAATTGTTAAACCGAGGTATAGTGGTTAAGTCCAAATTCAATAAAAATTAACTATGTTTCTGCCGAATATTGTCTGAAAATTGTGTTTTGTATCTTAAATTACTAGGCTAATTTAGACCTATCTATTTCCAACGTTTTTGAGTCGATTTTGGCAATTTTTTAACTTTTAATTTTTACATAAACGTTTATAAAATTATTTTTTTTTCGAGTAGTTCAAATTTTTAGATTTTCATCCCGTTTTTGCTTCAGCTAGGTCCGTACAGCTCCACATCTGACTCTCCAGCCGAAATCTGAAACAAATACACGCAAATTAGCGAAAATTTTTATAAATTGTGAAACCGAGGTATAGTGGTTAAGTCCAAATTCAATAAAAATTAACTATATTTCTGTCGAATATTTTTATATCTTAAATTTCTAGGCTAATTTAGACCTATCTATTTGCAACGTTTTTGAGTCGATTTGGCAATTTTTAAACTTTTAATTTTTACATAGACGTTTATTAAATTATTTTTTTTCGAGTAGTTCAAAATTTTAGATTTTCATCCCGTTTTTGCTTCAGTTAGGTCCGTACAGCTCCACAACTGACTCCCCAGCCGAAATCTGAAACAAAAACACGCGAATTAGCGAAAATTTTTATAAATTGTGAAACCGAGGTATAGTGGTTAAGTCCAAATTCAATAAAAATTAACTATATCTCTGCCGAATATTGTCTGAAAATTGTGTTTTATATCTTTAATTACTAGGCTAATTTAGATCTATCTATTTGCAACGTTTTTGAGTCGATTTTGGCAACTTTTAAACTTTTAATTTTTACATAGTCGTTTATTAAATTATTTTTTTCGAGTAGTTCAAACTTTTAGATTTTCATCCCGTTTTTGCTTTAGTTAGGTCCGTACAGCTCCACAACTGACTCTCCAGCCGAAATCTGAAACAAAAACACGCGAATTAGCGAAAATTTTTATAAATTGTGAAACCGAGGTATAGTGGTTAAGTCCAAATTCAATAAAAATTAACTATATCTCTGCCGAATATTGTCTGAAAATTGTGTTTTATATCTTTAATTACTAGGCTCATTTAGACCTATCTATTTGCAACGTTTTTTAAATTGATTTTGGCAATTTTTAATCTTTTAATTTTTACATAGACGTTTATTAAATAATTTATTTTTTTCGAGTAGTTCAAAATTTTTGATTTTTATCCCGTTTTTGCTTCAGTTAGGTCCGTACAGCTCCACAACTGACTTCCCAGCCGAAATCTGAAACAAAAAACATGCGAATTAGCGAAAATTTTTATAATTGTGAAACCGAGGTATAGTGGTTAAGTCCAAATTCAATAAAAATTAACTATATCTCTGCCGGATATTGTCTGAAAATTGTGTTTCATATCTTAAATTACTAGGCTAATTTAGATCTATCTATTTGCAACGTTTTTGAGTCGATTTTGGCAACTTTTAAACTTTAATTTTACATAGTCGTTTATTAAATTATTTTTTTCGAGTAGTTCAAAATTTAGATTTTCATTCATTTTTTGCTTCATTTAGGTCCGTTACAGCTCCACAACTGACTCCCCAGCCGAAATCTGAAACAAAAATCGCGAATTAGCGAAAATTTTTATAAATTGTGAAACCGAGGTATAGTAGTTAAGTCCAAATTCAATAAAAATTAACTATATCTCTGCCGAATATTGTCTGAAAATTGGTGTTTTTTATCTTAAATTACTAGGCTCATTTAGACCTATCTATTTGCAACGTTTTTTAAATTGATTTTGGCAATTTTTAATCTTTTAATTTTTACATAGACGTTTATTAAATTATTTATTTTTTTCGAGTAGTTCAAAATTTTTGATTTTTATCCCGTTTTTGCTTCAGTTAGGTCCGTACAGCTCCACAACTGACTTCCCAGCCGAAATCTGAAACAAAAACATGCGAATTAGCGAAAATTTTTATAAATTGTTAAACCGAGGTATAGTGGTTAAGTCCAAATTCAATAAAAATTAACTATGTTTCTGCCGAATATTGTCTGAAAATTGTGTTTTGTATCTTAAATTACTAGGCTAATTTAGACCTATCTATTTCCAACGTTTTTGAGTCGATTTTGGCAATTTTTTAACTTTTAATTTTTACATAAACGTTTATAAAATTATTTTTTTTTCGAGTAGTTCAAATTTTTAGATTTTCATCCCGTTTTTGCTTCAGCTAGGTCCGTACAGCTCCACATCTGACTCTCCAGCCGAAATCTGAAACAAATACACGCAAATTAGCGAAAATTTTTATAAATTGTGAAACCGAGGTATAGTGGTTAAGTCCAAATTCAATAAAAATTAACTATATTTCTGCCGAATATTTTTATATCTTAAATTTCTAGGCTAATTTAGACCTATCTATTTGCAACGTTTTTAAATCGATTTTGGCAATTTTTAAACTTTTAATTTTTACATAGACGTTTATTAAATTATTTTTTTTTTCGAGTAGTTCAAAATTTTAGATTTTCATCCCGTTTTTGCTTCAGTTAGGTCCGTTCAGCTCCACATCTGACTCCCCAGCCGAAATCTGAAACAAAAACATGCGAATTAGCGAAAATTTTTATAAATTGTGAAACCGAGGTATAGTGGTTAAGTCCAAATTCAATAAAAATTAACTATATCTCTGCCGAATATTGTCTGAAAATTGTGTTTTATATATTAAATTACTAGGCTCATTGAGACCTATCTATTTGCAACGTTTTTGAGTCGATTTTGGCAACTTTTAAACTTTTAATTTTTACATAGTCGTTTATTAAATTATTTTTTTCGAGTAGTTCAAAATTTTAGATTTTCATCCCGTTTTTGCTTTAGTTAGGTCCGTACAGCTCCACAACTGACTCCCCAGCCGAAATCTGAAACAAAAACACGCGAATTAGCGAAAATTTTTATAAATTGTGAACCGAGGTATAGTGGTTAAGTCCAAATTCAATAAAAATTAACTATATCTCTACCGAATATTGTCTGAAAATTGTGTTTTATATCTTAAATTACTAGGCTAATTTAGACCTATCTATTTGCAACGTTTTTGAGTCGATTTTGGCAATTTTTAAACTTTTAATTTTTACATAGACGTTTATTAAATTATTTTTTTTCGAGTAGTTCAAAATTTTAGATTTTCATCCCGTTTTTGCTTCAGTTAGGTCCGTACAGCTCCACAACTGACTCCCCAGCCGAAATCTGAAACAAAAACACGCGAATTAGCGAAAATTTTTATAAATTGTGAAACCGAGGTATAGTGGTTAAGTCCAAATTCAATAAAAATTAACTATATCTCTGCCGAATATTGTCTGAAAATTGTGTTTTATATCTTTAATTACTAGGCTAATTTAGATCTATCTATTTGCAACGTTTTTGAGTCGATTTTGGCAACTTTTAAACTTTTAATTTTTACATAGTCGTTTATTAAATTTTTTTTTTCGAGTAGTTCAAATTTTTAGATTTTCATCCCGTTTTTGCTTCAGTTAGGTCCGTACAGCTCCACAACTGACTCCCCAGCCGAAATCTGAAACAAAAACACGCGAATTAGCGAAAATTTTTATAAATTGTGAAACCGAGGTATAGTGGTTAAGTCCAAATTCAATAAAAATTAACTATATCTCTGCCGAATATTGTCTGAAAATTGTGTTTTATATCTTTAATTACTAGGCTAATTTAGACCTCTCAGTGGCCATCATTTCTTCGGCCGCCGCCGGTACCCCGACTCTTGAAGGTGTCAGGAGGGGTCAGGGGTGCGTAGCAGCACGGTTCGGGGAGTTCGTCGTTGTGGGGGTGTACTTTTTCCCGAACCGATCTCTCGCCGAGCTCCACAACTCTCTTGCAGAGCTGAGAGCAGTCGTCGTCGGAAGCTATCCCCTCCCCGTGCTTGTCCTCGGGGACTTCAATGCCAAGAACTTGGCTTGGGGTTCTCGTCGTACAGATGTGCGGGGTAGGATGGTGGAAGACTGGGCTCTGGAGACAGGCCTGGTCGTCCTAAATCGGGGTTCTGTCCCTACGTGTGTGCGGATGCGGGGCGAGTCGGTGGTGGACATTTCGTTCGCTAGCCCCGCTCTGTCGCCGCGTGCCATTGACTGGCGAGTCATGGAGGGGGTGGAGACCTACTCCGACCACCGGTACATCCGGTTTGACGTCTCCACCCAGCCCTCGAGCGCGCCAGTCCAACAGGCCCCGAGTGGTCCGCGTTGGGCGCTGAAGCAGCTGGACCGGGAGCTCCTCCTGGAAGCCTCGATCGTGCAGGCCTGGGTGTCATCACCGGATAGGCCTGCCGACGTCAAATATGAGGCAGGGTGGTTCCAGGAGGCCATGTCCGAGATATGTGACGTGGCAATGCCCCGGTCCGGCCAGGAAGCGCCCGGCGTCAGGTGTATTGGTGGTCGCGTGAGCTGACGTCTCTGCGCGAGGCGTGTGTCGCCGCGCGGCACCTGTACGCCAGGCATCGCAGGCTCCGCATTCGTCCACCGAATGCGGCAGCCATTGAGGCGGAGCTGTACGAGGGATACAGAGCGGCGAAGACCGCCCTCCGGGAGGCTATCATGCGGGCCCGGGATCGGGCCCGTGAGGAGATGCTGGAGACTCTCGACAGAGATCCGTGGGGGCGCCCTTACAAGATGGTGCGGGATAAACTCCGCACCTGGGCCCCCCCGCTGACGCAGAGTCTCCGGCCTCAGCTCGTGGAGGACGTGGTGAGCGCTCTGTTTCCTGCGCGAGGGGAACATCCGCCCCCGCCTATGGCTCCGCCACCTGCGGTGCCGGAAGCGGACCACCAGGACGACGACGACGGCATCCCGGAAGGGACCGGGGTAGACCTGAGAGTGGCGGTACGTAGGCTCAAGGCCAGGAATACCGCCCCAGGACCCGATGGCTTGCCTGGCAAAGCCTGGGTCCTGGCCTCGGAGGCTCTCGGGCCCCGACTGGAGGGGCTCCTAAGCGCATGCTTGGAGAGAGGCCAATTCCCGCTTCGTTGGAAGACGGGGAAGCTGGTCCTCATTCGGAAGCCGGGGCGCCCTGCGGACTCTCCGTCCGCATACCGGCCCGTGGTGCTGCTCGACGAGGTGGGCAAGCTCTTTGAAAGAGTCATTGCAAACCGCCTCGCCGAGCACCTTGCGGGGACGGGGCCGGATCTTGCGGAACACCAGTTTGGTTTCCGCAAGAGGCGCTCTACGGTGGACGCCATCATGCGCGTGAGAGCCCTCACGACGGGGGATGCAGTGGCCAGGGGGGGGGGGGGGTTGTTTTGGCGGTGTCTCTCGACATCGCCAACGCCTTCAACTCCATGCCCTGGAGCTGCATTAGGGAGGCACTCCGGTATCACCGGGTGCCGACCTATCTCCGTCGTATAGTCGGGGACTATCTGACGGATAGGGCCGTCATTTACCCCGGTCGCAACGGTGAGTGGAACCGGCGAGAGATGTCGTGCGGTGTCCCACAAGGTTCGGTTCTGGGGCCGCCCCTGTGGAACATCGGTTACGACTGGGTGCTGCGCGCCGACCTCCCTACCGGCGTCAGCGTAGTTTGCTACGCTGACGACACGCTGGTACTGGCACAGGGGGGGTCGTACGAGGCGGCGGCGGAAAATATGACACGCGGGATTGCGATAGTCGTTGAGAGGATCCGGCAGCTGGGTCTTGAGGTGGCTCTGCACAAGTCCGAGGCCATGCACTTCCATGGTCCTCGGAACAGGCCACTACCGGGATCCTCAGCGATGGTAGGAGGGGTATCCATCGGCGTCGAGTCGACGTTGAAGTACCTAGGACTCGTCCTCGACGGCCGATGGAACTTCGTTGAGCACTTCCGACGTTTGGCTCCCAAACTGGAACGGACCGGGGCTGCCTTCAGGCGGCTCCTGTCGAAACTGGGGGGGCCAAACGCCTCCTGCCGGAGGCTCTACGCGGGGATTGTGCGGTCCATGGCCCTTTACGGGGCCCCGGTGTGGGCGCGTGGTTTGGCGCGGCTTGCCGTTCACCACCTGAACGCGCCCCAAAAGGTGGTTGCCGTAAGAATGGCTCGCGGCTACCGCACGATCTCCCGCGAGGCAGCGTGCCTCCTTGCCGGATTGCCGCCATGGGATCTGGAGGCGATAGTCCTCGCGCGCCTACACGAATGGCGCGCGGAGGCACTATGCCGGGGGGAAACCCCGCTGCCGCGGTAAGTTGTCGTGCAGCGGACAGACTTCCGGCATGATCTCATGGCGACATGGAGAGAGCGACTGTCGCAACCCCGTGCTGGGCACGCCACTATAGCGGCGATAAGACCCCTCTTTGAGGAGTGGCTTGAGAGACGCCACGGCGTCCTCACCTTCCGCCTGACGCAGGTCCTCACCGGACACGGTGTGTTCGGGAGGTTCCTGCACCGAATCGGGCGGGAGGAAACGCCCGGGTGCTCCCACTGCGAGGATCGACCGGAGGACACGGTGGAGCACACCGTGGAGGTGTGCCCTGCCTGGGCGGAGCACCGCCGTGTCCTCGTAGCGTCGATAGGCGGCGGCGACCTCTCGCGTCCGGCCCTGGTCGAAGCCATGGTCCGGAGCGAGACGGAATGGGATGCCGTCACCACCTTCTGCGAAGCAGTGATGCTAGCGAAGGAGGTGGCGGAGCGGGAGATGGAGAGAGCAGCAGCTTTCCTTCCCGGCCGCCGCGGGAGACGCCCCGGGCGTCGGGGGCTACGTCGTGGCCCCCGGCCACCGTAGGCGCGGGCCTGTGGACGGCGAGCAATGGGTAGCTCGCCGTCCGTCCGTCTAACGACGACAGGCCGTGTCGACGGCGCGTTTTGTTCCACGCGCGCCTCAAAGAGCTGTCAGCAGCGTGAAGGGGCCCGCAAGGGCCGACGCCTGCCGGGGCTGCGGGCTGTTCGAAAGAGATACCGCGGCTCCGGAACGTAAGGGCACTGAAGGAACACGGATGGTTTTTAGTCAGTAAAAGTCTGACACTCCCTTCTGCTCCACCCAGAGCGAAAGGCGTCATTTGATGATTTTCCATCCGCAAAAAAAAAAAAAAAATACCTCGGTTTGACAATTTATAAAAATTTTCGCTAATTTGCGTGTTTTTGTTTCAGATTTTGAGCTGTACGGAGTCAGTTTTGGAGCTGTACGGACCTAACTGAAGCAAAAACGGGATGAAAATCTAAAATTTTGAATTACTCGAAAAAAAAATAATTTAATAAACGTCTATGTAAACATTAAAAGGTTAAAAATTGCCAAAATCGACTCAAAAACTTTGCAAGTAGATAGGTCTAAATTAGCCTAGTAATTTAAGATATAAAAATATTCGGCAGAGATATAGTTAATTTTTATTGAATTTGGACTTAACCACTGTACCTCGGTTCACAATTTATAAAAATTTTCGCTAATACGGGTGTTTTTGTTTCAGATTTCAGGTATTTTTTCTGTACACGGTATGACCAATAGTGTTATCAGGATTTCGGATGACTAAAACATCTAGAAAAGCTAAAGTATTGTTTGCCTCTAACTCCATTGTGAATTGTATTTTAGGGTTTATGGAATTAAGGTGGTTTAAAAATGCAGTTACTTTGTCACAGTTAGCTACCGTGGGAAAATCTTTGTTTCAGAGAGCACGAGGGATCTGTGACAGAAAACATCTGGCCGCCGAGCTTCAGCACGTCGAGCAAGTACTGCAAGACAACAAGCTTCGGTTCCCGCGCCTACGTCACAGTGACCGAGTGAAGCCAGCCACAGTCGAGCGTGTGCCTGCTGTACTACCCTATGTTAGAGGAGTCACAGACAAGGTTGGCTACATCTTGAAGCGAGCTTCCATTAAAACGTACTTCAAGCCGCTGAAGAAGATTGGTCAATTTTTACCATCCGTCAAGTGTCATATCCCTCTACAAGATGCAGGAGTGTACAAGCTGGATTGTGAATGTGGTCTCTCGTACATAGGACAAACAAAAAGATCTATTAAAACCCGCGTTAAAGAACATATAGCTGACGTGAAGCACCGACGTATCGGGAAGTCTGCAGTTTGTGAACATGTGCAGGATCGTCCCCGTCATTACATTAGATTTGATAGACCACAAATTCTCGCAAAAGAACACCGATTCCTCCCAAGGATGATTCGCGAGGCTATTGAAATTAAAAAAACATCCTAATTTCAATAGAGAAGATGGATGGGTGCTGCCATCTGCTTGGGATCCCATAATTAATAAAATCAAATCCAAACCCAAGTATACCACTGCTAGACTTCAAGATACTGTAAGCTCATTCTGCGTAAATCGAACCAAAAATTAATATTAAAAAACTGAAGGTAGCCGGGCTAACTATGAAAGCAGGACGTCAAACAACTCAGTCCCCCGTGACCACGGGTGCTGGAAAGCACCCGAAACGTCGGGAATATAAAAATAAGTTAAAAATAAGTTAATATACGCGATAAAATCCGTAAAATTAGTTTTATTTAAAAATGTGTAGTGTTCGCGTAAATATAAGAAATCATTATGTAAACCAGTACGGACTGGTAATTGCAAATAAAATTCGCCGATTAGAAGATCTCATGACCAAGCGCGCAAGATATGTAACATCATTGAATTTTCTGAAAAGGTGCCGCGACCACCAGCTCATTCCTACGTGCGTCATAATATCTACTAAAAAGGACATTCGAGGAAGCGCTAAGATCTTAAATCAGGCAAGTAAAAAGTTGTTACGAACGGTGATTCAGCAAAAACGGTTCGATTTACAAATCATAAATAATACCATAGACAATTTGTCCAGTGAGTTAAAGACAGTTTTAACGACATTTGATTTTAATAATTGCATTGAAACTTTAAACAAACGCGAAATATCGAAATATAATGAATGCAAAGACAAACAAATAGAAAAATACCAAAAATTAACTATCAAATCAAATGCCAAACATCCATGTCAACGTAGAAACGAAACGCAACAACCGTTGACCACAGACGCAAACAATAAACAACGCACGGTCTATAATTTGTCAAATGAAACACTGGACGAACCTACAATAAAAGTATTGTCGAAAGGCTTAAATTTTGCTATAACGCCGCAAAAAATCCCGTACGAGGAAATTATCTGTAGTGTTGAGGATTGTCTGTTTAAGAATAATATCGGTAAAGAGGATTTAGAGGCTATACGTCAAGACATTTCGTCCTTGTTACGTCGAAGTTCAGCGCCGAAATTAAACCTCCCCAAAGACGAATTTAAAGCGTTGTACAACTTACGCAACAGACCAGAGCTCACGATTCTCCGCGCGGATAAAGGAAATGCTACGGTAATAATGGACACGTCAGAGTATAATTTCAAAATACAACAACTTTTATCGGACGTAAGTACATACAAAAAGGTCAAAATAGACCCTACAACTAATACACTCAAAACAACTACTGATTTAATAAAGAAATACTCCGAAAAATTAGATCTTGACGTGAATTCGACAATACCATCATGTGCCAAACCACCGAGGTTGTATGGGTTACCGAAAATACACAAACCAAACGCTCCACTACGTCCTATAGTAAGCCAGATCGATTCACCAACTTATAAGTTGGCTCAACACTTGGCAAAAATACTGTCACCACTAAGAGGACATACCAGAGCACACACAAAGGATTCATACCAATTTGTTAGTGAGATTAAAGACCTACATCTCGCTGACAATGAAACTATGGTCAGTTTTGATGTTCAGTCACTATTCACATGCCTACCTATTGAAGACTGCATCTCAATTGTTACTAGAAAGCTAGAAGATAACAACATGCCTACAGAATATGCAGTATTACTCAAACACTGCCTCACATCTGGCTATTTATTGTGGAAAGAAGAGTTCTACATGCAAGTAGATGGAGTGGCAATGGGCTCACCTGTATCTCCCGTAGTCGCCGACATATTCATGGAGGACTTTGAGGAGAAAGCCCTTCTTACTGCTCCTGTAAATCCAAGATTCTACAAGCGGTACGTAGACGATACTTTCACAATTTTACCATCTGACAAAGTAACTGCATTTTTAAACCACCTTAATTCCATAAACCCTAAAATACAATTCACAATGGAGTTAGAGGCAAACAATACTTTAGCTTTTCTAGATGTTTTAGTCATCCGAAATCCTGATAACACTATTGGTCATACTGTGTACAGAAAAAATACCCATACCAACCGATATTTAAATGGTGAATCTCACCATCATCCTTCACAGTTAGCTACCGTGGGAAAATCTTTGTTTCAGAGAGCACGAGGGATCTGTGACAGAAAACATCTGGCCGCCGAGCTTCAGCACGTCGAGCAAGTACTGCAAGACAACAAGCTTCGGGTCCCGCGCCTACGTCACAGTGACCGAGTGAAGCCAGCCACAGTCGAGCGTGTGCCTGCTGTACTACCCTA